AAATCAGTAATAGAATTTCAATTGCAAATATTACGACAAAGTTCAATCTTTAGAGAAGATATCCGTTATTGTACTCTTTTTTTGTCTCTTGTAGTTTTCGTTTGTTAAAATCATTAAAATAAAATAAAAATTAAATGTGAACAATTTAGGTTAGTGAATCAGAGTATATAATATAAAGTATAAAGAAATCTTTCAAATTTTACTAGGCAGTGTAGTACAAGCAGCTTAGGTTTTGTATTTAGAATTGTAAGAATAATAGAGTGTTGATGTCAAACAGACATCTAGGAGTTCTGGACAAAGGTTTGAAATTGAATACACGTATAAAATTATAATTATGATATAATCGTCGTTTATATTTATAAAGTACCTCTCGTTACGCTACCCAAGGCACGTCCCATGCTAATGTAGCATAGCTAAGATTTCGTTATTATTTATAACAAAAACCTTTCTGTTGCGCTTTTATCCCATTATCAAAATGAAGGAGACCTCGCTATAGCTATACTATTCGGGTTAGAAAACCAGGGTTCATGCTGCTAAGAAGGCATTGGAAACCTCTGAGGCTTGTTAATAATTTAATTACATACGGCGGCGCATATCTCTTTCTGTCAACACGTTACGGATTTGTTTAAAAACATCATTCATAAGTTTGTGGGGTGCACGAGAGTCTAATGGCCTTCCATTAGACATACAATCGATACATTAAGATACGTGACACGTATGTGATCATTTGGTTCTAAGCAGATAAGCGTGAAGAAAAGTGTTAAACAAATTGTAAACTGTAAAATTAATTCTGATACGACTTCCTGATTGCATCATTAGTAAATGACGTTTTTAGAAACTTTTTAATAATTTTTTTTCTTTAGAGTATAAGCTGCAATTCCTTTAAGGCTACAATGGACGGACGACAGCGGGCGGCGGCGCGGTGGCGACAGCAATGCGGGCGCTGGCTTGCTTTTTCAAATCAAAATGCCTAAGGCTCAATTTACATTGCGGCGGAACAGAATGGAACGGAAGCGTCAATGGCGCCTCGGCGCTTGAGAAAACGAGCGCGGTCGCCGGAATGCTCAAGCATTCACGAGCTTTCTCACGACTGCGCCTTGAGGCTATAGTATTCCGTTCACGTTTGACGTCAAACTACGCCTGCCGTCGCGCCACTTCCCGTGGAGTAGTCAGGCGAATTCTCGAAAATTCCGCGGTAGACGCGTGACGCGTTTTTTGGCTCGTATCTAGTTTGTACGTTACGTAATTGACCATACTTCCGACCAACTTCATTATACTATATACAATATAATGACAAAACTTAAATTCCATTCCGTTCCGCTGCAATATAAATTGAACGTGTGTGCATATGCTGTTTGTTCTCGACGGTAGCGTGTTGCTCGAGCGTCACGCTTCACTCGAGCGGTGAATGCGCGTTCAAATAGTCATAGTGTCGTCCGTCTTGTTGCTTAACCATACCTATTTTGCAATCAATAAAGTTTGGAGATGTTTTAGGAGGAAATAAATACAGCAGTATTAGAAAGGCCACCAATATGGAACAGCAAATGTATCGACCCAAAATCCTTTTCACCACAATATCAAACATGTCCCCAAGTTCTCGTTCTGCAAGTGTAAGCCATCGATACGATAAATATTAATATGATATATATATATTTTTCTAATATCTTGTTTTAACTTGTTGTTGTTCATGTTCTGATTTAGTTAAGCAATATACAAGCGAAGTAAATAAGTTACTAAAATGTCTTTTCACCTGTACTTCATCGTAAAAGTGCTGAAATTTTCCATACAACGCTGTTAGCATAAACTTATATCCTTCCGAGTATTTCTCTGAGCTACACGTGGCGTGAATCACTAATGGCGAAATTCATTAAGGCGAAAACCGTAATAGCCGTCAGCCGTCAGTTTACTCCTCAGTACAGTTGCACCAAGTAATTATCCAGGGCTTTAATTAATAGGCAAGTAAGCTTGTCAAAAGGGAACGTGATTTGTTGGTTACAACAAATCATTTACTACCTAATTAGCAATGTTTCTTCTTTCTGTTTCTTTATCCTATATTGCATACATACCTATCATCACGCCTGTCTCCCACCGGGGAAGGCAGAGACCATGGACCTCCACCTGCTACGCTCCTGACAAACCTCCTTCGCAATAACAAGAATTTGTCGTAAGACAGCATTATTGCTTGACTCATTTTCAATTTTTGATTACAGACATTAGGGTTGAAGCCAAGTACAGAGTTCAAGGTTCTAATCCTTGTACGTGGTATATTACGGTCCTTGCGTATTACTTTAATTTCTAAGTTAAATACACTAAAAAAATATTTAATTAGATTACTACCCTTGGAAAGCATGCCAAAGTCAATTCTCATTAAGCCAGAGTTGATGATGATGATAAACAAACATTTATGTAATTATTAATACAATCGAACACAAAGAAAAAATGCTTCAATTTGACAGGTCTCGTACCTGTGGCTGCTCTAAACCAGGGCCACCGCTGTATCAACTGAGCTACAGATCGAGTCAGCAGACCTTATGAATTATTTTAAGTGTTCGTTACAGATTTTTGTATTTGGTTTTTTTGGTTTTCGACCCCTCCTACGTAAAGTATCGTATATCGACATTGCCAAGTTTAAGGGGAGTGTTTTAAAGATTCGAATTCACTGAAATAAGCATAACACGCGACTTTAGCATTTCTCAGTTTTATTCGGCAAAGCGCGTTACTCACATAGAGTATTATAAAGTCCTAGATATTGATTAGATGAACAACCACAATTTATTTTATAATTGTATACTGCCCATTAATTGAAACACATATAAAATTCAAAACTTTAAAACGCTCCCCTGTAAACTTGGCAATTTCGACATACGATACTTTACGTAAAAGGGGTCGTTTTTATCGCCGTTAGCGACACCTATGAGAGGTCTATGAAGCTTCTTACTCATATAAATATAATGGCAGTAAAAAAATCATGATATTCAACAAAAATTGATATAACAAACATTTATATGGTTTACATTAGCTAGGCACACCTTATTCATTGCTGTTCTATCGCGTCCATTATCACAAATTCTTACGAATTCCATCAACTTCGAACGCACTTGAAACCAAATATTGTCGTAATTCAAAATTTGGTGGAATTGAGAAAACACGATTTGAAAGTTCAAGGCACCATGAATCTTATTGCGAATAATGTGATTATTTTTATCAAGACATAATAATATGTAGTTATCCATTAATAAAGGAGAATATAAATTTATTGGTTTCATTCAGTAATTTTTCAACCTTCAAATCGTGTTTTCTCAATCCACAATTTTGAGTTACGGCAGTATTTGGTTGCATGTACAATAAGTTGTTTTACAATAAATAGCCTTCAAATCATCGAATTTAAATTTTGTATAAATATTTATTATCTAGAAATGTATATTTTACGTAAATCGAGTGCAGTGGTCAACCGTTGCTAAATTATATTTTTACATCACTCCACTTATCATATATCAGGATATATATACTAGAGATGCCACGAATAGTGATTAGTAGTAGTAATAGTGATAGCCACTCTCTCGGCCGAAGCGCCGAATATTCGGCTGCCGAATGAAAAGATCTGTGTTTTTACGCGCGACCTGTTACGACCTGTCTCATTGCGCTGTGTGAGGAGGTAACAGGGGTGGGGACTTTTTGTTGAAGAATGATAAAACGATAGAATCAATACATGACAGTTTCTGGGCCTGTTTAGCAGAAGTTGCTACAGATAATATGCAAAATGATGAGGTAGTGGAGAAAAGTTCTATTGCACATGAGATTGATTTTTATTTGAAAACTGTTCACCTAGATCGGACGGCAGATCCTTACAAGTGGTAGTCAGCAAACGCAAAGCAGTATCCAAGTCTGTCGAAATTTGCTAGGATTTATCTATCATCTCTTGTCAGTAGTGTTTATAGTGAGAGGCTATTTTCAGAAGCAGGAATTGTTTATGAGGAAAAGCGCAATTGTTTGTTACCAACGAATGCTGAAAAAATTGTTTTCATTCATCACAACCTGCAACTGATTGATTTTATGTATTAAAGCATTAAAATAATAAGTATTAAAATAATTTGTGATTAAAATACGTGATGCATTTTGAATAATATGTGTTTTTTTTTCATTATTCGTGGCCGAATAGGCCGAATTCCGGATAGTAGTCAAATATTCGTGGCATCTCTAATGTATACAATATAAGTAAACGTATTCACGGGTTCTTAGATTTTCGCGTTTGTTCCACATTGAACATGAAATTATTCAGCCGTGACCATGAGACCTGTAAAGAGCTCAAAAAATCGAAAAAGGGAAAAAACATGGATAATCTTTTTACAGTGTTGGCAAGTCAATCGAATTTTCAGGACATTCTTTATAGAAAATAACGATTTTACTTCACATTACTATTGAAATATACGTTAACTTGATTTGTAAAGACGTGCAATAGTATCTAACCAATCGTCGTTCTGAATTTCAATTCAACATTTTGCTCTCCTATGATTTGAACATAAAAAATCTATCTATTATAGGTTTCTCCTTAAATTAATCTAAGACAAATCTACCTATGGATTTCGATTTTATTTCCTTTGTCTGAGCATTGCAAATTTTCAATCTAATAATGTAAATAGGTGTAAAGAAAAATTTCAAATGCTTCTTTCTCAAAAAAAGCCATAAAAAGGTAAGTTCCTCTTCTGAGGTAGAAATTAAAAGAAAAAAATATTTTGTGTTTTATTAATCAGCATAAAGATAATAGAGCTTTCGAGAAAACGCCTTAATTCTGTTTTGACGCTTTGATTGGATTTTTAAAGAAGCGTTACTGTTCGTTGTTAAGTATAAAAAGTATTTACCACACCACAAAACACAACACAAATACGAAGATCTTAGTTTGTAGTATACTTATAATACGGTCACAACAAGAAATATCGATAAAGCAGAAGACGTATGATAGGTGAACGTGAAAAATATTATTTTAATTGAACATAACGTACCATAGACGATGAATAGCGTCGTGGCAAAACAGTAAAAGCTGAACCGGGGCCCGACAGAAGTACTTCACATTTTCAATCGGGAATAAGCACAAAAAATAGCAATCCAGTTTATGCTCATTGTGAAATGTTCGCGCACTTTATGAAGTTACATAGATCGCAATAGAGATTGCTCGCTGCGAGAGAGAGAGGTCTAATAGGGGCGCGGGTCTGGCGGGTACTGAATTTCCCGGGTGATGCTTGCCATTGCCTCGCCCTCCCGCTTGGCTGGCAACCTCACCCAATGTACCCAATGTACGGTAAAGCAGGGCAAACGGGGCGCTTTTAGCGTTGGGTCTTAACTCTGAAATGAACACATAAGAATGTTGTACAAGCTATACTATAGACACTTTTGAACGACAATTATGATTCGATAACATATTAAAATATAGACGTCCGTTAGGGATCGTTGTAATAATTTTGCATTGTGTTGCTGAAACGGTACCTTCTAAACATATAATCTTGTTCATCATTATTTTATAAATAATAATTGCGGCGCTGTGGTTACAACTAATCCACAAATACCACAGACATCTCTCTCAACGCCTTAAGAACATGCGCGTGAAATTGCAATCGTAGACAAACATGAGAAACTCGGAAACTCAGTCGAAAAACAAGTCGGGATTTAAAAGGGCGGAAATTCAGCTAGGTTGTACATTGTAGTCCGGCTCAGATTGAAGACGCGGGGCGGGCGGCGGTGGGTACGTGACATGTTACTTGCAACTGAGTTTTCGCTAGTTGTTAACTCAGTCAACCGTAAATGTTTAATGAGCAGATGCGTTGTGATTCGAATATGTTCAGTGTTAAACCTTATTTTATTTATTTACGTTTCGTTTGATGCAAATCAATAGCAACCAGACTTTTTCATAATCACAGAATTTTAATATGATTTGTATAGCAATGCCTTAGTAAATACTGAGCCCATATTATGAAGCCATAAACGGGGCGTAAACTTATATTATGAAAGCAATAAATTGTTCAGGTGGCATGTCACGGCCCGGTATTCACATAAAAGTTTTTGAGCATTCATGTCTCAGCTTCAATGTTATCTGCTGAAATGTAAATATGGTATCTATTGTAGAATTTGATTTTATATAAAAGTAAATAAATAAAAAGGCAATGTAATAAACAGAAATGTGTATGTACCTATATTAAATTGCAAATGAAGCACTTAAGATTGCACATAACAAATTAAAATTTTAATAGAAAATGTTGTCGTTTGGTCACGAATGCGCAGACACTTGTAAATATTTGTAACGGTTTTTAATTCAGAAGTCGTTACTTACAGTTTCTTTTTTATAACAGAATTTATTTATATTCGTATCGGTATCGTCGGGCTCCTGAATTGAGACACCGAGGTTTGATAACTACTTCGACTCTATAAATTAATAAGATATTTTTTTGTTCCCATTACAAAATTGTACAGTTTTCCGAACTCGTGAAAAAGTAGAGCGTGCATAAAAGTTTGTCTATCGCCAGCATATGAGTTTGCTAAGTTGGTGAATGCGAAATGTTGTTCTCGTAGAGATAGCTAAAGTCATCAATCATTCAGTGTATTCATGTCAATATCGAACACATTACATACATTTATATTTACGAACACATTATATACATTTTGGAGTTGTATATGTAGTTTGTCTATACGTCTATATAACTTCTCCCGATAAACTTTTATGAAGTTTGGGAGAACATTATCTTATTTGTAAAAAAAATGTAATTGACAAGATAAATAAATTAAAAAAAAAAAACAAAAACTATATAGTAAATAGTTAAGTGATATGCTTAAAATAGTGAATATTTTGGAAGTGGAAGTATAATGGAAGTTTCACAAAATTATTAGTTGGTTTAAGACTCATGAATATTGTCACTCACGGGTAGGCAGATACAGTTGTAAGGACTTGGAGTTTTATACAAACATTACGTGAAGAGAAATGGAACCACTTTAATACAGTGAAGAGAGAAAGTTAAAAAAAATCGAATCACGTTAGCGAAATTTAATTAGTTTGCCAAAGTTATAATTTATATAAGAAAGTGCTGGAGGGAGTTACAGAGAAATTTGCTGCAATCTGTTAGCTCTCTTCGGGTTCATGAAAATTTTATGAAATGCTGTACTATAGGCGATATACTATTCGTTCAAAAATGAAATTCTATAAACTTAGACTTATGAATTCTGTTTCTATGTGGAGTCTTGAATGGTTAAGTGCTACGTTCCACAACGAGTACACTAAACAAACCGAATACACTAGTCGAGAGCGAGGATTAAGACGATAGTAAGATGGTCTATTCTTGACGAGAATTGATATTTCGAAGAATCAAACTGTACAGACAAAAAAGATTTCTTCACTTCCATATACATATAACAACATAATAATAATAATGCACACACTCATAACCCCGCACTAGGGGAACCCAGTGTCGCGGGTGCCATGGACACACACTCATACAACCACAAATTACACCTAAACTCACGAGAGAAATAAATGTAGGCCATATAAACATTTCTCCCGGTCTGGGAATCGTATCCAGGAACTCTACGTGGTAGACCAGCATTGTAACCTTGCAGTCATGGAGGCAGTTAAATATAAATATAATAAGTTAAACAATAGGCAAAGTTTATAGTTTTAAGATAATAAATACCATGTTCGGCATCGTTTTGTCTGAACATTTTTCCTGCTTAATGGCTAAAGTTTTTCTAAGATAAATAGCCAACATTTTTAAATGTAAAAAGCGAAATTACAAACACACTTACTTACTTTAATTTCTCATCACTTGATTCTAAGATCCCTGGACTTCTAGTATAAATATTACTTACTTATAAGAAATGATGATGAATTTTTTCGGATCTAAATTGCGCTAATATTTGTTTTTTTTTTCAAACGAACCAACGATTCGGGCCCTTTGCAGATCCATGGCCACAGCTAACTCATAGTCAGGTAAATCAGAAAAAATAAGTTTTTCTATGTGTTACAACCGCGAAAACCTAACAACTCGATAGTTACTTAATTATTGTAAAGAATACTCTGAAAGGATAATATAAAATTCATACGGGAGACGGTGGAAATTTGAATGTTGTAAGGGACATTTTTTCGTAATCGAACATGTCCCTTACGACATTTCAATATTCGATACATCAGCAAAATTATTACCCTTATATCGACAATGGAAATTTAAAATGTCAGAGATATTTTGTCATAACCGACTTTTTTTAATAATAGTGTGGTTTTAATTTTAAAAGATAAATTTAAAAAAACTTAAAAGAAAGCATCATGGCTTACCAATCCGCCATAAACATATTCATAACACTGTACAATAAGACAACTACGAAGAATACACATCGTATGTGGTATGATATTTCATTACGCACGTGATTGCACATAATAGAGAAACCTGGCATGTAGGGAGATAATCCGGACCCTAAGTCTATAGTAATAAGTAGGCACCTAGCCAAATTGAAGTAGTTATTAGTAGGATAACGCGATAGAGTATATTTAAATATAAAAAGATATGAGACGCTCTTATTTAAGCAGACTTATTAAATTTCTGATGATTTAACCGTGATTAGATAGCGAAATTTATTATTTGGATCATAGTAGCGTTTCTATAAAATCAGAGCGAGGACAAGAGTAAAACTACGTGTGAGTCAAAAAATAAAACATATCATTTAGAATTGATAAATGCCTCAAGTTTGTTTCGGGTCTACCGGTGCGCACAAGGGTAAAACAAACTGCACACACGAGTCTCATCCTCTACCCATTTATGTGTCCCACTGCTGGGCATGGGTCTCCTATGAAGCGAGGGTTTTAGGCCAAAGTCCGCCACACAGGCCCGATGCGAGAGAGACTTCACACGTTTTCCGAGGATTGTGAACCTTCTCCGACTTTCGGGTTTCATCACAATGTTTTCCTTCACCGAAAAGCTCTTGGTAAATTCAAATTAAATTTCGCACATAAATTTCGAATTCCTCAGACGTGCGAGCTCAAATTCGAACCCACGGCCTCTGCTTGAGAGACGGTCAAACCATTAGGCTCCCACGGCTTTTTTATATGTACGTATAAAAGATAGAAATAATTAAAAATAATGTCTGTTGACAGGGTTGGGATAAAAGCTTTACGCTTCACATGCCTAATTTTTGCATGCTGAAACCTGTACTGTGGTAATATCGTTAGATCTCAGACCGCAGTTACCATGGAACACAGAGCTGGCATTTGCGGGTAGCTTTTATTGACAGCGGACTAACGTTGGACAATGTTTGTGCTCGAGTTCTTCCACAAAGCAAATCTCCACTGACCCGATTTCAGAAACTACTAACACACGAGGAAAATTCGAATATTGCGTTCAGTATTTCCTAGGGTGAGTTAAAATGTTATTTGAGTAAAGGTTTTCTTATTTTCAAAAAATCAAGCGTCGTTTATCATTCCAAACTAACAGTACTAAAATTCTATTAGCGCATATTTTTTAAATAACGATCTGTAATAACAGGAACAACCATATATTACAGCATAAAATGAAAGATGTGAAGCAGGTGAATTTAAGGCTTAAGCTTATTATTTTAACCAATTTACTTAATTAAATTAAGCTCGTGGTCATACTGAGCTGGCGTGGTTATTACATAATACACAGAAGTATTTACATGGCATATAATTACGTACATTCGCGTATACATTTCCTTTCTCAAACAGCTGGGTAGTTGGACCCGAACGTATCTAGATCTCTACAAAATAATGGGCAGATGGAGCATACGCAATAAAAGCGGAATGTTTTATTGAGGTATCAAATACATTCGTTATTAATAATTTAGAGCAGCCTTTCCCAAAGTGGGCAATAACGCCCCCTTGTGGGCGCTGCAGGCCTAAAGGGCGGTAAGAGACCCAGAAAAAAATTGGGGGCGTTGTGTAGAGGCTTAGGGGGAGATTTGTAATTTCATCTAGGAAGACTGTTAGACACCGACTGAGCTCTCGACTCTCGACTACAATTTGTAAACATCAATTAATATTAATTAAGAGATTGCTCAAATTAACTCGGTTCGATATTTCTTTCCGTGTAGTTCATATATCTGTCCTGTTTTATTGAATAAATAAAATAAAATTCATGTCAATCGGTCGCTCCGTTTCGAAATGAAAAGACACAAACAAACAAATAAAAAGGCAACAGACACAGTTTCGCATTTTAATAGTTA